AAAAAAAATATATATATATGCATGGCGTGGAACATTTGAAAACAAATATGATTTTGTTGATGAATTGTGAAGCCTCACATGCAATTTCATATCTATGAAGTTGGTGCAGTATGGTTACTAGCTAGCTAGTAGAGGGGACACTTGCATATTATGTGAAGGTTGGTAGGCATAAAATCCAATGCAAAAAGGCCTATAAAGGATTGGTTTTGCAAGTACAAGGCCTACAAATTCAACAAAAGAAAATTAATTTAGGGGAGATTAGAATATATATTTAAGAATTAATCTTCAAAATTGAAATTGGCAATATATTACAGATCTTGAAGTAGAAATATTTAAGTATTAGTTCAAGTCTATTAAGTGCGGATGGTTCAATCAATAACTATATAATATGTATTTGAGTTTTTCAATGTATAAAAACTTTACTAACATTTGATTACATATCATGTAGAGTTTGGTTAAAGATTATATGATTCAGGATCTCTTAATAATTTTTTCATTTGAAAGGGAATCAACACTTTTTAAGACTACAACATCTATATCTAAATTTATTTTTTTATTTTAAGGGGAATCAACACTTTATAAGGCTAAAACATCTATTAAATTAATATACAAGAACTTTCAAAATAAGGGGCAAGGGTTCTTAGTTATTAAAGTATAAAGAAGAGGAAGTTTTTTAAACAATAGGATACACTACAAGAGTTGTGAAAAACATTTTGAAGGAGTTGTGACAAACAATAGGGCTTACCACCTCTTAAAATAGGATCATGCTACAAGACTTAAGAGGGGGATTTAATTCCTAACCTCAAGCCATATAAGAACCTCCATTATTAGAAATCTGGAATTGAAAAACTATATAGTAGATGAAATCGATGAAATGCTACAAGCTGGAATCATTAATTAGGTGAAGTATCAATCCATATTCAAGTCCCAAAATTCTTGTTAAAATAGAGGTTGGCCTTTTTGTGTGGACTACACTACATGCATGGCCTTAAATAAAATTACAACCCTCAGCAAGTTTCGTATTCTTGTGATTGAGAAATTATTGAATGTGAGTTGCAAGATGAATAGATTTTTTCAAGCTAGACTAGAAATCTGGTTATCACCTTGTATTTAGGAAGAAGACATGCAAGGCATTATGAATTTTTGGTTATGCGAGCTCAAAGTAACAAGCATAGACGTGAAGTTCAATTTTGTGAAGTAGATTCGATTTATTGTTAGTAAACTACCCATTAAAAAGGTTTATACCAGGAAAAGGAAGAGTGCTAACAAAATATTAAAGTAATAATGATTTATTAACATCTTGTAACTCTTTATTGGGAAAATAATTATAAAAAAGAGAGTAGGAATAAATGGGAAGAGAAAGAGATTGTAACTGTCCATATTAGACACTAATTCTAAATAAATCTTTAGCTACATCTTTCCCTGGTACTTTTGATCTCGTAATCTTATTGTTTCTTTGAAAAATTTGTTTAATAATTAAGGATACAATACGTAATTGTTTACTATATACCAAAATTAATTGTAATAAAAAATATGAAGAAACGGGGAAGAGAGAGACTTTGTAAGTTTGCAAAATAATTCTAATAAGGATATTCATTTAATAAATTGGAAAAATGAGAAAGTTAATGGCTGCGTAAGATTTGAATCAAAATTTCAGTGGGGAGGGTCTTGTCTCTTGACTTTGAGTACCTGGGTTATGCTTTTGCTTTCAGTAATTTGTCTTTTCCACTTTTTCTAAATCCATAATAAGCAACAAAGTGAGGATTAATTGATTTGAATAAATATTTCATTTTCTTATGATTTATATCCATACCACTATACACTATGCACTTAAAATTTAAAAATAATAATAATAAGGACAAAAAATCTCTTTCACTTAACTTTTTTTTTTTTTTTTTTTTCCAATTGCAAACTCTTTTGGTGAGCTTCCATTAACAATGATTGAAATATGAGTATATTAACACCACTTTTTTTTTATTTTTTATACATTTATGTAATCATAGCTCTATATTTTATCTATCATTCATTTATGAAAATTTTAGTTTAATTTGAAGTATCATTTTTATTATTATGATAGGAAAAAACTCTTATCTAATATATACATACATTTGAGAATATTTTTTTATTATAAGAAATGAGAATTATAAATGTACATTAGATCTTACATTAAAATTCAAGAATAAAAGAAAAATGAACATAACATTTATAACCTAAGTTTAAAGTTGTCACATTCTTAATTTGAGAATATTTTATATCGACATAAAATTTTAAAGATATACCTTATATTGCAAAAATAGTAAATATAAACTAAAATGTTTTCAACTTATAAATAAAATTTAAAAAAAGAGTAATCGTGTACTCACACACGTTATTTTCTCTTTCTTCTTTTTCTTTCTGTTTCCTACTTCTATCCATCTACATATACTCTAAAATTCAATGTACCTTAATAACTCCTCAAATAAATTTTGAGAAATATAATTTTTATTTTAAATTATCTTGAAAAACTGATTTTAGTTGTGAAATTAAAAAAAATGTATTTATATTTATATTTAAAAGGAGTTTCATTTCACCTTCCAAATGAGATTTATTCTTTTAAATTCATTTTACATATAAATAAATTTTTAAAGAATATTTCACTCTTGTAACTTATATGGGAAAAGTAATAGATAAAAACTTAATAATGTTCGCTCTTAAACGGAGTAATTATATTGGCATACTCACATTTTTTTTTTTATCGCTCTCTTAGTTGCGTAATTCAAAACTGATTTTAGTTTATATAATTCAACAAATATATTTATATTTATATTTAAAATGATTTTCATATCCCGGAAAAAACGAGTTTTATTTCACCATCGGAAATAAAATTTATTCTTTTAAATTAA